AATACCCGAGTCACAAGTTATGGTCTTCCGAAGATTTACGGTAATTGGATTGCTTACGTGGCGCTGACGTGGCACGAGTCCCGTCAGTATCAGTGACGGGACTAGTCCCGTCAGCATAGGTGACATGTTTGACTGCATTACTTTGGAAAAACTTATCCAATCAACTTTAACCAGGCAATTCTTTTGTCCAAAAACTTCAAAATGGTACTTTTCCCGACATACACTACTTAAATTACTTATTGAGTTTCGTTTTGTAGCAACTGAACTATTGCACCCAGCTTCTATCCTTAAATCCGAATCAGAATCAACTACACAAGTTCATGGTTTCAGTAAATGTTGCAATATACACCACTTTGAATTGCACAAAACTCAAGAAATTTATTAAATAGTTTTATTTTAATTTTTTTTGTCAAAATATTATTACTTCATCAATATTTTCTGTCACTTTATTTGATAAAGATATTTTAAAAATAAAAAAAATATATAATTAATATTTTTCAGTTTTTTTTTGTTAACAAATCTTATTTATCTCTTTGAGACGAGTTGACCCCTGTATTCCCACAAACTTTGACTCTTTGAGTCATCTATGAGATTAATTTGGAGTGCGAGGCGAGTTAGAGATGAAAATATTTAAACTCCTCGTGACATGTGGGAATCAATCCGAGTCACTTTCCTTTTTTTAAGTTTTTTAAAATAACAGATAATTATGTAAAATGACAAATGTTTTTGTTGGAATATTCAAGTGTGATGAAATCTCATATTGGTTGGTAATAGGCTGAGTGAAATATATATAAGTGAAAGCACCCGTGAATCCAATATCTTAAAATTTTAGATTGAGACATGATATCGAATTCATTTACTAACGTTGGACTAGCTTGACCCATTGGTGGTATTCCCTCGGATAGGGCTACCTGTGTTCCTCTTTGTAGACAACTGAACATGTTTCATGGACAACGATGTCTTAGGAATCCAAATCCATAAAAGACAAAGTTATACAACTAAAGTTGGTTACTTGCTTCAATGATCAATATGTTCTATTTTTAATCAACAATGTTTTATGATATTATACATCATAAAAGACAAAGGAAAGAGATCATCACATTTGGAACCATGTCTTAGGAATCCAAATCCATAAAAGACAAAGGAAATAGATCATCACATTTGGAACGATGTCATAGGAATCCAAATCCATAAAAGACAAAGGAAAGAGATCATCACATTTGGTTGGTTGAAGCCTGCTTCATGTCTTGCTTGCTTAAATAATATTGTTAGCCTTGAGCCTTAACTATTCACATCAATTAAAAATTCTACATGTTTAGAAGGATAATCAAACCATAAAAAAAAAACCCCACAAAAACAGAGCTATGCTGACTAAATATATAATAGATAAAACGTAGCTGTAATTGATGTTTGCATTGTAAACTTCGGAAACTAATTAAAGGTAATGAGTGCTGCATGTCTCATGCGATATATATCCGTCTGGATCCATTAAAAAACAGCTAAAGTTGGTTACTTGCTTCAATGATCAATATGTTCTATTTTTAATCAACAATGTTTTATGATATTATACATCATAAAATATGCTTTTGAATTTAAAATACACATTGATGCTAAAATTGCATTGTATCATGCTTTTGATACCGCAAGTGCATATTATTAATTATGCATGAGAAACGTTTCTCATGCATAATGAGTGAATGGTTCTCCGCTTGATTGTTATATCATGAGTCCCATAAAGATTATAGAAAATAAAATTCTTATTCATGCCCTTAAGCTGTTGATAATGTCATGAGGAGAAGGATTAATTGGTATTTGCAACTTTTAAGATGGTCAATCTAGTCTGAAGGAATATAACTAGAAAAGCAGATAGTCCTGATCTAAGTGGTACATGTTTTGATGAAAGGAAGTTCACTGTGACTCTGTGAGTAAGTATTCAACGCTGGATCATTATGAAACTCTTTTGTATGATGAATTAACACTGATTACTAAATATTATATCCCAGTGCCATACCTGAAACATAATAAAATCATTTATGCATCTTTACCTGATAATTTGAATTTTTGGAAGAGTTGGTTGAATTCATGATCAAATGGTCTAGAATTTCATCCTTGCCACACTCATTCTTCTAATAAAAAAAAAAGTTAAATTTCAGCACAAAGTAAAAAAAATTTAGTCTAAGTAATATATACACATCTATGCCTAAAAAATTCCTGCGCCAAAGAACATTTCAAGAAATATAAATAAAATTATTTATGTGCAATCAATAGTTCAAGCTTTAGACAGAATTGTTTCCATGACACTCTGTGACAGTAATGACAATATTTTGACATATTAACGTTAGCTCAAGAGGGTATCAATCTGTGAAGAATCTTTATATACATATACAGGACACAAGAGGCACATATAAATCCAGGAAATCAAGGGTTGATGTCTCTATATACTGATTGTGAATATAATAACTAGTAGTATATGATGACAGATCACATAATATATTAAAGTTTCAGGAAGAGAATATTTGATGATTATTCCAAGTCGATTTCCATCATAAGTTAGAAGGAAACATTTGGGGGCATATAGATACAAGTAAGTTTGATATACTCGTTTTCAATATATATTTTCTCTACCTACCCCTCTAGCCCACTCCTTTTCAAAATCTTCATTGGAGTCATATACTCTAAATGTCCAAAAGAAAACAAAAAACAAAAGAGACAGATCCTTAATAATTAATATAGTCACAAGACTATGTGGTTACTTGCAAAAATTTAAGGAATAAACGCTTTACAACAAAGCTGGACTATAGTTAATGTTTTATTTGACTATTGTTTCTATCCTAGTTGTCGAGGTGCAAGTGCTCAAGTTACAAGTGCTTAAATGATGTGATTGGTCCCAATCAGCCTATCAATCAAATATTGATCCTTCATTGTCTCTTGAACATTTTAAAAAATACTGGTCTGTGCCGATAAAGAGAAAATTGTTAATTGCAAAAATAATTGGAAAATATCTGTACTTACACTACAAATAATTGAGTCTATAAAATACATTCCCCCAGTGGAGGATCATAAATTTCATTATCGTTTGCCTAATATACATCCAACCTTATACATGAACAACTGAATGTTTGTTAATCCATCCCTTGAGTACATTTTCATGTTGGGTGCTCCTGTGATGCCCCGAAGAAGAAATTCATACATTATGAACCCGATGTTCTGCCACTACCAGTAACCGACGACATACAAGATGATTTTGCAACAATAGGTTCTCCAGGAGTCTTGTCCTGCTACACTTGCAAGATCTTCTGAGGAGAAATAAAGTATGTAGCTATTGGAACAATAATTCTAAGATCATATAAAGTTGAGGAATGTTATATTTACAAACTTTTTGTTTACAAACTACACTAAGTATGACTGGTCATACTTCAATCAAGAGTGTATGACCAGTCATACTTAGTGTAATTTGTAAAAAAAGTTTGTAAATGTATCATTCTCCTATAAAGTTAAGATAATGTCATCGCATGAAACACGCTTGTAGTTTCCAAACAACGTTGTCCAAGGGAAGACTTTGAGTACTATCCATAAAAAAGGCCCTTCAAAAAATACAGAGAGCAGAAAACCAATCAATACATTACAATGAAACATGTTTGTACAAGCATATGACATGTTAACTATTTTTGTCACCATAAAGAACAACTCCTATTTTTCTGCTATCACTCAGTTATAACTTTTCAATCTCAGAACCTAACAAAAAGGTGTAATTCATTGGTGACAAACCAAAGCATCTAGTGGAAGGCAGAAAAATTGTCATATCTATTGACAAGCCCGCTCTATTGTCTTACATTCAGAATTACATTGGCCTTCAGAGCCTTGTTCCACCAACCGATAAGGAAAAAAGGAAGTTGGAAAACTAATGTCTACCTATTCAATTTAACCAACACTCTCTTTTAACCGTTAAACCATTCAAAATCAAAAGCAAATGCCAAGAAACCACAAGTTGCAAATAAGGGAAAAATAAACATAGCAATGTCAACTCATAACAAAAATTTTATGAACAATATATCAAACAAGAAGTTGGGTTGTGTCACTTCCAACCTATCTTCGAGTCTAATTCCGCCTTTTTCATATTAAGAATGTTTCAGCTATCTCAATGATCTCGTATTCTGAGATCTAACACGCACAACATTCTAGTGTAAACTATAAAATCGGAGGCAACTCATCTCTCAAACAGGAATAACGAAGCAATTGAGAGAAACCCGGATGGATAAAATACCTTTTTGAAAGTGAGAACTTGGTGATACAAGTGTTTGGTAAGTTAGTTTCTCTGACACTTGCACCTGATGTAAGGAATGTCTTCCTTTCCAATGCTTCCCATGAGTTTTTCTTGGAGCAATGTGAGAGTGGCAACAAAGCTAAAACGAGGAGTGATGAATACTGTAAAGTAGAACAATGCCTTCATTATCTTCTTCAAGTCTCTTTTGTGCAATCTTTTTTAGAGAAAATACCAAAGTATGGTTTAGAGATTTTTATTTGTTTTAGAAGAGCCTTATCAATAGTTTTATAGGTAAGGTAAGACTACAATAATCAACTATGGTTTTTAATAACTAGAACGAAAATAGTACTTTTATTTTACTCTCCAAATATTTAAGTAACATTAATTTGAAGATTGATATCAAATTAATAATTCTTAACATTAATTTAATTTTGGTATTACTTTTCATAACTAAAGTAATATCTTAATATCAACGACCATTAAATTATGCCCAAACCTTGAGGTCAACTGATAACAGAAACAGGTAAAAAGATTAAATTTGTCAAGCATGACCTCCATCAAATGAAAAATCTGATCCAGTCAGTTAAGGTACAAAGGCTGAAAATGAAGTGAGAGGATCATGTTTGGATTTCCGTACATGATCATGTTAGATAGACGCCAGAGCAACATCTGAGAAATAGAGGAAAGAAAGATTCCACAGTTATGGGAAACGTGTCATAAAAAAAATCAAGGGGTTATTGATTGGTTGTCGTCATAAATAAATTTAGAGTCCACCTGGAATTTACAAATACAGCTCAATGATTCCTTTATTGCAGTCACACTATAAATGAATAAAGGCAACTCTCCTCCCTATATTTTTATATATTTCACGTATTCTCTTCATTCTCCTTTCTTCTATTTACAACCCCTCCAAGTCTATCCAACCTCTTGTCTATCCATCCCTCTCTCTTAAACAATAAAAAAATTTGAAGAAAAGAAATATAAAGAAAAAAAAATTGCTTTCAATTACAAAAGTCAAGTACTTTCTGACATCAAACTTGCAGTGAAACACGGGTCTTTATGGGCTTTAGCTTCAAACCCATGTTTTCTGGAGAAAGGAGCTCCGGAGAGATGCAAGATGGGCTAAGCGGGCTCCTTGGGCTGTCACTGAATAGACATGGCCTGTACAGCCCATAACCCATGAAAAAGTACTCCAAAGGTATCAGCATTGCATGTGGCTGTTCCTCTGTAACCATTGATCCACAAGCCTGGACCTGCAAAATCATAACCCACTCTCAACACTAATTTTTGTACGTTTGTCAATGCCCAATCAACTCTATTGATTTCACAACGAAGCTTCTGGACATGTTACCAGAATCAGTGCATGCCCCTTACCCTTAGTATAATCTAATCTGTCTACATACATCTATAATTTACTATCACATTTCAAAAAGTATGCAAGTTAATCATGAGGAGTGCAAAATATATTATGGCAGGGCAACCCTTGAATACAATCTCAGAAGCCATTTAGCTATGCTTTCTTGTTATATACATGGGTTTTATAATTCTTGTTCAACATGTGAATTGAATTCTTCCTATACACCTTTCGATTTCCATGCTGATGTGAGTTCTACACATAATTTTTTCTAACATATGAATCTCATATGCTTTTTGTCTTTACAACATAAGATTTTAATTCACATGTAACTCTGAGAATTATAAAACCCTACATACATATAACACTTAGACATACTCTGGTGCAACATACCTCAACCAACGCACTAAATCTCCTATCAAGTTTTGAAGTCATGTGGAGAGCCTCAGAATGGAAAGGAGAACTGTCCCCGACAAAAATAAGTGTACGACATTTTAATCTTTTCAATCCTTCTGTAATATCAGGCCTCCTGCAAGTTGCAAAACAAAGTTGTAGCACATGAATTTGACAATTCACAAACTAATAGATGATTACGCACACATAAAATTAAAAATGGTTAAGCAAATATGTAGCAGATTTTACTCATTAATTGCGTGAAGAAACCGGAAGACATTTGTTCTCTTTCTCTCATCCAGCAACTGGAAAAGAAACATGACAAAGAACAAATGCAAAGCAAGGTGAATATACCAAACAAAGAAAGAGTGGGAAAAGGAATAATAATCATGTTCCGGCAATAGAGCAGTACAGGGAGAAGAAACTAAATAAGCTTAGCACTGACTTTTCTGCAAGCTTGAACTATCTCCGATTCTTGGACTTCAACATTACCACGAACTTCCTGTTAAAGTTGACCAAGAAAACTCAACATATGAAATAAACGAGGGAATGCAGCAGGGCTAAGATCATTGCGTTACAGTACCTTGCTGAAGTACCGTTGAAGCAAACACTCCTTCAGCAAGCCACACATGCCGTAGAAATATAACAAATTTGACATCACCTAAAAATTAACAAGTAGTTTTAGGCAATGTTATCGGATCAGATAATTCATAAATGGACCAATCTGCAAGGACTTGAAAGGAACCTTGTTATAAAACCATTCAGTCCAAGAAGGTGCTTTACATAAGGGAGATACAAGTATTAAACCAAGAACACGCTCCCTATATTTCATCTGTAAGAACACACCAAGGAAGAAAAAATTAATAAAAAATTGACTTCATATTTAAACTACAAAGCATTAACTAAATAGCGCAGTTTTATCTTTCTTTCTTTTTCCTTCAAAGTTAATAGGGTACATACTGCAAAAAGAGTAAGAATATAAGCACCGGCCGTTACTCCCATACACATCACTGCACCAAGCCTGAACAAGGAAATAGTTCATGCCATTAGCCAATATAGCAAAAGTATTGGATTTTCCCTCAAAACAATGTCATTGTCCTAATCCCAATTCCCGAATTTTGGGTCATTGATAAGAGAAGCAAAGCAAGAAATATGGGCTGTGTTCAAATAAATAAGAGTTCTAAACAATGAAAGCTAACCATCCCCCAGAAAAACCAACAGTATAATTATCTAGTAATTACCCAAAATAGTTTAAGATCTCAACTATTTGATCTGCTAAGTCTTCAACGGAAGGGACAGGATCATCAGGACAAATTGCAGCAGCTCCCAACTGCAAGAACTCTTATGGAAGTTCCAGAGGAGAAACTATGTGAGTAATAATACAGTTTTAAATGCGCAAAAAAAAAAAAAAAACTGCACTCAAATCGATCGACTTACTGACCTCATGTCCGGGAGGACTGATATGATATATACAAAAGTTGTGAAGCAGCAAAGAAGCTGCCTCTGGACAGAAAAATAATCCTTGGAAACATGACATATCTGCCCCAATACACAGGTAAATTATTAACTCATATTTCCAGATTAAATTAAAAGAACAGGGTTCAAACATACAATGACTAATGTAATCTAAGAAGGAACTGAGACACAAATTCCAGAACAAAAGGTAAAAAGAATTCAGAATCTTGACATTTTAAACAAGTGGAAGACTGAATGAGATAAAAATAAATAAATAGACTGCACTTACAATTTAGCGCTAAATCTGGATAAGTGATCAGAGCTGGTTTGTCATGATCTCCATAGACTATGACAGACACAGAACCACAACCAGTTCGAATATGATGCTCCTGAAATGGTAAATCCAAAATGAATGTAGCCTAAACACAGACAAAAACCACACAGGAGAAAAAAAAAGCCCCAAAATTGAAGTTGGAACTTTTAGGAATGAAAACAACCTTCCCGGCTTCCCCCAAAGCAAAGGATATCCTTTGTTTTGTATGTACTCCATTTTAGTAATGTTAAAACTCATAAGTCAAACTTTTCCAAGCTATTTGTTCCCTAACAGGGTTTCCCACTACCCCCATGTGCCCTTTCTCTTTTATTGCACAACCCAAACTAACAAGCAACAGCACATTAACATCACTATCGAAAAAGATAAGTGAAATAAGTCATTCCAGATTCCAATCATTGCATGCTCCAGCAAGAAAATAGGGTGAAGACAGCGAAAAAGAGGATAGTATCTTAGGCTTTTAAAAGGATAAGAATGACTTTAACTCATCCAATAACTATTATGCGTATAACTTATAAAGGAAAAGGAAAACAACTAGAGCTTCCTACATCGCCCAAATCGCATCGAATACCGCAAAGGTAAAAAAAAAATCCCACAACCCCTCACCCAAAAATAAATCAATCAAAATCACTAAATCCATAAATGACCATTTCGTTATACTAACAAAGTCTAAGAGAAACCGTATAGGATGCCTGCAAAACAGCTTTAAACGAAAGAAGAGATCACTGAAATTTCAAAACAACAGCCAAATGAAAATCCAGGAGACTAACGAGGACCAAAATATTGGAAAAACTAATAGCTTCACAAATGGAGGATGGAAAGTGCAAAAGAATATGTGGCAAATAAGGAATGCGCAGATCCGCTAATTGCCAGGTTCAAATCTTCAGAAAATAAGATAAATACATTCCAAGAAAGAACATAAAGAAACAAAACAAAAGGGATTAAAAAAAAAAAAGGAAGCCAAGCCCATGAAATTTTCAGAGTCAATACAAGCAAGTAATAAACGCTTCTTGTCATTTTCTATTGCCCAATTAGATCCCAACAGCAAAACACTTTCCAAACCAAATACTCCGTTATGCAGAAAGAACAAGAAGCTACGGTTAAATCCCATTGATATAATGTGTTGACTTCACCACATATTTCCTTCATTCAGCAATAGCATAATCCAAAAATTGAAAATGCAGTAGAACACCATCTTCTCAAAAGAGGTTGAAAAAAAATGAGGGCAGCAAGAACTCAAAAAAGAAAAAGAAAAGATAAATTTGCTACCCATTAATCCCAAAAATAAAAAACCCAATTGAGAAACACATGAAATTGATCTATTTCCAACAAAACAAACAACCAAAAAAAAAAAAAGTTTCAACCTTTAAACCCAAACACACAAAAAAATAAAAAAGAAAGATCAATGAAATGGTGAAAGTGGAACCTTTCCACCGAGGTAGATCTTCTCCATGTCGACTGAAACGGAATCATTGGATTCTGCCATGACTGCAGCTCTGGTGTATATGGAAGCCCCTGTCTGAACTCCAAAGAAGGCTCCACCCACCAACAATTCGCTTTGTTTCTCTCTCTCTCTCTCTCTCTATCTTTCTCTCTGTCTGTGTGTGTGTTTTCTGAGCTGGTTCAAGAAATATAGACCTCGTTCTCGTATGCCTTATATACGAAGCCAGTGATGTTAATTCGTATGATTCTTTCTCTCTACACACTCTCTCTTTCTTTTCGAATTTTTAACCTACGGTTAACCATCACCGACGCTTCCTTTCCGTACCAACTGAATTAAACCAACCTAAGACCTCTGTCATTTTTTATTTTTTAACCGCGCCCACCATCTTCAACGACGTCGTTGCTCTCTCACTACATATCTCCAAATGCGACGCCGTTCCGCTCATAAATAGTAAATAGTATAGAATAAGGAAAAAAAAAAAAACTTAATTTTGCGGGGTGCGTCAAATTTAATGATTGGCTGGGCAGGCTGCCCCCCCCAATGATTTCTTTCTCCTTTGACTCAAAACTCTATTGTGCGTGCGTGCACACCTGTCATTGGATGCTCCATTCAAAAGGCCCCACTTTTCTTTTCTTTTCTCTTTTTTGTTTTTAAATTCATTTCCATTACCTTGTTTTGTAGTTTCTGTAATTACTCACGTTTGAGACATGGACACGTGTGAGTATGAAGAGGGACCTTAGAAGTTAAAAAAATGGTAGGTTGCTTGCCTTTCATTTGACTCCAATCATTAATCATGATTCATGCCTTCCTAATCATATTGCTTTCCGCTCTTCCATTTCTCTGTATTATTATTTATTTACCAATATTCTTTTCGCATCTTTACCAAACCTTAATACTAAATAAATTGAAAGAAATCATGATGAAATATTTGCATTTGCTTTACAGAATATGTTCCAAGTGTTTATTCGATGTATAGATCTCTTTTCATAACAATGTTTACTTTACTCAAATTAACAACTTTGTTTATATATAATACAAAATCATCGAGAATGTGTTGCTTATTAAAATATAGAGTTCATTTTTTCTGCAGTTACTGTAGAGAAGTTATCTGCAGTAAGTTCAATACGATATCGTTTTGGGGCGAAAATCATGGTGTTTTTGTAATTTTAATTTATTTCAGAGTTATTATAGTCTTTATAATTATAATTTTCTAATCTTTCAATCCAAAAACGATATCATTTTAGAAATAAATGCAGATAACTTATCTGTTAATTTTTCTGTAAAACACATGGGTCATGATGATAAACAACATCAAACAAATTGTTTCGCGTGGTGAAATATAAATGCAGATTGGGATTTTATAAGTGGTAAAATATATTGTTTATATTTAATAAATTTTTATAAAAATCAAGCATAAATTATGACATCAAGCTGATTGAATATAAATTCAAATTTATATAACCGGAGCAAGTTGTTAAAGATTTACTTACATATATATAATTGTTTACAAACAAACTTTTTCTGATCCATTTTAATTTCTATTCTATTAACAAATTCTAATTGATTAAATATACATATATAAATTGTATTGATTATTTACTTAAAATTATGGGATTAGATATAGATGAATGAGTGATAAAGAGAATAATAAATAGCTTACCAAAAAAAGAAAGAATAATACATCGAATAATATTGTATATTAAAATAATATGATGTGATATCAAATACAAATACAAAATATCAAATACAAATACAAAATATCAAATTTTATTTATACTAAATAAAATACCTTAGAATAAGAAAAGGAAAGAAAATTGAAAAAAAAAATATTTCTACGAAATCATCTAAAATGATTTAAATTATTTTAAGATACAATCTTAATATTAGATTATATATTATAGATATTCTAACATTTTTTCCCTTTTTAACCTTATTAAATTTCAAAATTATACAATTTTCTAATTATATCATGATTTTGCATATCAATACCATAAACAATATTTTAACTAGAGAGAATTCCAAAAAAAATAAAATATGAATCGGATATCCTAAAAACATTTGAGGAAAATGTGTTTTTTATTTAATTTTCAGTTGAATGGTTTTTGTCAATTAATGTGACTAATCACTACAAAAGTCAATTGCTTTTATAGGAGGAGATTTGACAATGACATTCTTAATTTCTTACCGAGATGTTTTCTATTCTACCCATTGGTTTCTAGTCATGACTCATGACACAATTTATTATTAACAATCTCTTTTTTTTTATTTTTATGAAATTATTAATCATGATTTAAGCTGCTTACCTTATGCCCCTTTTGTACTTAAAGTTATTGAGAGCGACACGGAACCCACAATAGCATTACACAAGACATACGTGATGCTCTCGACTTATTGTCAAACTCGGAATTTTCATTTAAAAGTGATTAAATTTGTAAGATTTACCAGAGCGATATTTTTTTTTCTCTTTTTTTCTTTTGTGGGGGGGTGTGGGGATGATGAAACTTATTATTGGACTGTCTTTGAAATTGGATAATATCATGTAACTTGACTAATTTCAATGGTAAAAATATATTTGTATGAAATAATGTTCTTGAAATGTGCATTTAATAAATAAAAAAATTCAATATATATATGTAATTTATATACTTGACGACCTGTATTCTATGAGATTGAATTTTATGTAATAGATAAGTTGTTAAGCAGACATTAATTTTCCAGTGAAAGGGTGTGAAAAAAAAGGAAGCAAAACCCTTTAAACATCTATATCATTTGTATATAACTGATATTTTTGATAAAGGCCCGGTATTATCCGGACTTTTTTTCACTAAAAGTTACTTTAAAAAAAAAAAAAAAAAAAAAAGACACTTATCACTTTAATCTCATCTGAATGTCTGCTTTTAAAAAAATAGAAGTTACAAAAAAGTCAAAAATTTACTTTTTTTAGAAACTAAAAATTTTAACTTCTAAAAAAAGCAGAAGTCAAATATTTTTATAAAAATATAAATAATTTTAACTTTTATACAAAATACTTCTAAAATAAGGAAGAGATAAAAATTACCTTTTCTAGAAGCATAAACAAACGGGCTCTTAAGTGAGTTATGTTTTAATATATTCATTTAGGAAAAAACATTTGTCCTTTTAAATGACTTAATTTTATGTCATTTTAGATTCTAACCGTTGATTTGCGTTAATCAACAGTTAGGATTTATTGGATTTTATTGTGATTACTAATTAATTTATAAATTTGACCCAATAAATCTTAACCGTTGATTTGACAGAAATCAACAGTTAGGATATAAAATAACACAAAATTATATTCTTGACGAACGTTTTCCCCATTCATTATGATATTAATTCTTTTTAATCTAATTTCTTAAGCCCATGATTTTTTTTTCTAGCAATAAAAAATTTTATATAAAGAACCAATTCAATCAAAAAAATTAAGTTGTTGAGTGAAAATATTTTTATTAGTTTTATATTATATTATTTTAAAGTTTTTATCACACTAAAAACTATAATATCATATAAAGAATTATTTCAATTCAAATAAATTTTTTGTATGTGATAAAATTCGTGATCACATAATCAGAAGACTTTTTTTTTTTTTGGTAGAAACAAGACCTAATAAACTATAACGCATTTTTTTTATTTCTTATATTTTAACTTTTTGGTAAAAAAATCAATAATTATCTTATATATGTGAGATTAGTTAAAGATAATTTTTAAAATCTTATGAAATGATTGTTAATATTTAAAGAAATGATTTAAGATTTTTTTTTATAGCCTGATTTAAGATTTTTTTTAAATGCATGTTTGAGAATCAAAATATTCTAACAAAATAATCGTAATTATTTTTTAAAAAGTAATTTCTCAAAACTATTTAATTATTTTTTTAAATCTTGAAATGAGTTAAGAAGAAAGTTATACTTAACATTATTTTAGGCTTATACTCTTACGACCTATTTGATAATCGTTAGATTAATTTGAAGTCAATAATCGTTATTATTTTTTTCTTTTTTTAACAAGTAATTTTAAATTGATCAAACAATAATTAAAGTGATTGTAAGAGTGGTAAGAGAAAGGTTATACTTATAACCTCTTACAATCATATCTTAAACACCGTTGATTTCTGCCAATCAGTGATTATCATTAATTGTAAATTAATAATTAATTAATGAGTTTAATTTGCGAAAATCATGACCGTTAATTGACGGAAATCAACGGTGTTAAGATATGGTTGTAAAAAAAAAGTTATAAGTATAACCTTCCTCAAGTGATAAATTTAAGATGATGATAAATATAACTGTCCCATAAATTAATGTGAGTGTTTTTAATTTATTGTACCCTGCTTTTACTTTTTATTGGACGTGTGAGAGAATTTCAAAACAAAATGAAGTTCTTTTAGACTTTTTAAAGTGTTTAATGTTTAAGAGATAAAATTATCTCTTTTGCAAAAAAAATTCGTCAAATGCATGTTTCATGCAAGAAGAAAAAGAAGATAAAAAAAAAAAAATGAACCCACGATCAAATCTATCACCTACAAAATAACAAACAGTAAATCTGTGTTTTTTTTTAAAGGTTAAAGTGTAATTAGAGTTAGATATTGATATCTCACTAGGGGAGGACTCTCCAATTTTTTAAAGAATTTTTGGAAAAAATTACATAACACTTATTAACAAAATCTTCACATCGACTAGCAAAATTTGAATCCATGTTCTTGTTGGATATGAATCAAACTCTTTTGTTGGCACAATAAACCTCTATTTAAAGAAAATGATTATATTGATAATTTTTTTTTCAAACTTACAAGCTATAAACTATAAGATTTTAGGAACAGTGACCAATGTACCACACATTGGTCACTTTTTTATCAGTATGTCATGCGAACAGTAATATTTGCCTAAATGTCATGTGTCCGAGTTCGCTACAACAGGCAGCAAACTCGATTTACTGATGTGTAGTGTTTATGGTGGCCAACTAGTTCGCTACTGGGTGTAGCGAACTAGGTGACAATTAATACCACTTTGCTCTGACAAAAGCAGAACATGTGGCAGTGTCATAAAAGTTCACTAAGGGTAATAGCGAACTAAGTAAAAATAGTCATTGAAATATGTGTCTGACACACACAAGTTTAATACACTAAGTAGCGAACTATATACAACCTGTATACAATCTTGAATATTGTGAAAATGTTACTTAAAAAATATATAAATAGAAGGTGAAAACGTGAGACCTATATTTCTGACACTCAGGACACAACTTTCTAAATAACAATAATTACCATACAGTAATTATTATACTAATGGACTGGATTCAACTTGTAAACAACCTTGAATATTGGGAAAATGTTACTTAAAAAATATATAAATAGAAGTTGAAAACGTGAGATCTATATTTCATACACTCATGACACAACTTTCTAAACAACAATAATTACCATACGATAATTATTATACCAATGGACTGGATTTATCAAATGTTCAAGGCTGTACATAGTTCGCTACTTAGTGCGGTGAATTTGTGTGTGTCAAGACACATATTTCAATGATTAATTTTACTTAGTTCGTAGTTTGCTATTACCCTTAGCAAATTTCTGTGACACTGCCACGTGTTTTGCTTTTGTCACAGTATAAGGGTATTAATGTTACTTAGTTTGCTACACCCAGTAACAAACTAGTTGGTCACCAGAAACACACCACATCAGCAAACTGAGTTCGCTGCCTGCTATAGCGAACTCAGACATGTGACATTTGAATAAATATTACTATTTGCATGCCATATTAATTAAAAAGTGACCAATATGTGATATATTGGTCACTGTTCCAAGATTTTATTCAATAGATAGTATAGTTTATGGAAAAACATTTTCTCATATTGCATGAGAATTCAATTCTTATGTTGTGATCTTTCGATTTGCGTGCAATTTTTTTTTTCTCTTTTTAATAAATGTGGCGCCCACCGGCGCCCACCACTAGTTGAGTCACAATATAAGAATTCAATTCTCATGTAACATGATAAAATCAAATCCCATAGTTTATATGAATATGTAAACCGATAGTTTTCCCTTTTATAAAACCAAGAATAAAGTCACTTTTGGTACCTAACAAAAAATACGATCTCTACTTTCGTCTCTTACAAAAAAAATGTCAACTTTTGATCCATCTATAATTTTAGTTTTTTGAAAATGTGATCCTTCAGATAAATTCAATGAAAACCCAATTTAATCCTAAAGAAATGATTAATACGAGTATTTTTTTTTTTTTTTGTAAGAGATGAAAGTGAGAGCGTGTTTATTTTTTTATCCTGTTAGGACCCGTAAATGACTTTACTCTAAAACCAATAAATCCTGGCTGAGTTTGGGCGTGTGGAGTGGCGAACATGGGCGGTATGACGGTGGTAGTGGTTTTCGACTTCGATCGGACAATAATCAACGATGACAGTGACAGATGGGTGGTCACTGAAATGGGTCTCACACCCCTTTTCAACCAACTTCGCTCCACCATGCCTTGGACCTCTCTCATGGTACGTTAGGTTTGGTTTGGTTTTCCATTAAACCAAAATTCAATTGCATGTTTGGATTGGAGTGTTTGAAACTTCAATTTCTTTGAATCTGATTGATAGGACAGAATGATGGGGGAGCTCCATTCTCAAGGGATTAGCACCAACGACATTGCAGAATGCCTCAAAAGGGCTTTATTGCATCCAAACATCATTTCCGCTATCAAATCTGCTCACACTCTTGGGTAATTAATTTTCTCCTTTTCATCACTATGAATCAATGCTAACGTTCATTTCAACCTTTTTTCTTTTTTTTACTATAACATTGCATTTGCAGGTGTGACTTGAGGGTAATTAGTGACGCAAATCTGTTTTCTATTCATACTATTTTGGAACACCATGGTGTATTAGGGTGCTTTTCCCAGGTCTATACAAATCCAGCTTTTGTAGACAGTGAGGGACGCCTTCGTATCACTCCATTTCATGATTCCACTTTGTCTCCTCATGCTTGTCGCCTTTGCCCTTCCAACATGTGTAAGGTATTACTTCCACATCACTCTCTCTGTTCTTCAACTTTTCTTTTCTACTTACATGTAGACATGATTCTCTGTCCCAGTGTACCTGCAATTCACTACTTCAATGGGTGCTTGACTGCTTGTGTTAACTTATTGTGATTGTATTGTAGTCACAGCATGATTATCCCTTTTTAATAGCAGAATATGTGGTTATTTCCATGTCATATCTATGGGAAAAGATTATGTATGTGGTTGGTCTTGTCGCTATGTGATCACAAAGAAAAGTTTTGGACCATCAAAATTCAGTGGTCTCCCTTTATATTTTCACAATTTTTTTTTTTCATTTTACTCTTTTCTTTCATTTTATATTTTCATTTATGTCCCACAATTTTCAAAACGGGACCATTGAATTTTGGTGATCCTCGTCCATCAAAACTTTTCTCGTGATAACGAGGTTATGAGTTTGATTTATGTAACCAGTCTTTTGCAACTGCATTATAAGAATACCTTTTATAGACCCACAAAATAGTTCCTTATCACCATTCTTCCTTTTTAAACTCTAATTTGAATGCATTAGATTAAGCAGTTGTACTAAAATAGTTGATAAGTTGGTTCAGGACTGAATTTATAGTAGAGTATCAAAACTTCATCTTCCCACCCAGTGAGTTGAACATCAACCATCTAGCTGACACTTGAACTAGTGTGTTGACCTGCTTTGTGACTAATGCTTCATGAAAACCTAGCATTACATTGGTGGAGAATTTGTTAGTTGTTGTATGCCTACGAACTTGTGAAAGCCTAACTGTGATTTTCTGCTTAGCTCCCTTGCAAAATATATTGTCAGTTTTCCACGTTCTCTTTCTTTGGTTTTGTCTTCTATTGTAGTAATTTGTTCCCCATGGCGTTGGTTCTTTTGTTCTTTCCTTCTTAGGGTTTAGTGATTGACCAAATCCGAGGTTCTTTACCTGAAAACACAAGATTCATCTACATTGGAGATGGAACAGGTGATTATTGCCCAACTTTGAAGCTGGAGGGAGGTGATTTTGTGATGCCAAGGAAGAAATATCCCCTCTGGAATCGGATTTGCAGTGACCCAAAACTAGTTGATGCAAAAGTTCATGATTGGAGCAGTGGGGAGGAGTTGGAGAGCATACTACTGAACCTTATCAACAAATTAGCTATAGCTCCAGTCTCCAGAGGTAGCTAAAGGTGAGCGATACGGGTTACACGCCCCTTCCCAATAGGTAGGAATGCTAGTTCCTTACAGGCCAAATAAAGGAAATTCTAGTTCATTAAACTCGAATGGTTGCTTTCAGAGGATTTGGCTCTTCGGCCCAAGGTGCATTCTCTCAGACAATTCCTGTTCCTACTTCCTCTCCTGCAAATAGCAATTATAGTATTGATCATTGTTATTGGAAGTCGATTAGACATGGGAGAGTACTCCTTTTTTAAAAATAGAAAAAAATAGGATTTAGGTGTCATTAACCATAAAAGGGTGGGTGAAATATGTAAAGTGAGATGTTGTAAATAATATTGATTTAGTTATTATTTAGTCATTTATTGTTGTATTGGGCCAAGCCCTTTAGGTTAAAAGTAGGTCAAATATTCTCTATAAATAGAGAACCCTTTGTACAGATTATTTACAATTCTATAATATATTAGAATACCCTTTTACAAGTTGGTATCAGAGCTCTCGATCTGAGGGCTTTGCTTCCGCACATATTATCTTCTTTTTTAACAAAACCCTAATTTATTTGTCTCTTTCCGCCATTAGCCGCCACCGGAAAATTTTTCCGGGGACCTTTTGGACCAAGGGGACCATTGTTGACCTTATTTTCCCTCCGATCTATCATTCTACGCAGTGTTCCTCCACCACAAACGACCGAAACACCTCCGATCGCCTCCAATCAGATCTGTCTTCACCGTTTGGACCACTTTCCGGCGACTTTTCAACCGCGACCACCCACAGACAGGTGCGCGCTCACCAGACGACCACACCAGAAAAATCTCAGCCGGCGAAGCCCATCCACGCGCTCTCACGCGCCGCCCCTTTCCCGGCGAGTGAATCCCACGCGCAGCTCCTTTCTCCGGCGCGTGGAGGCGCGTGCGGCCGTGTTTTTGGACCGGACCACCACCATTATTCTCGTCTTCTTGTCTTCTGTCTGGATCTGTAATTATTTTTCTGATCAGAGGTCATTTGATATTCTGTTTGGTTGATTTTATCGCTGGTTGTTAACTTTTTTTGTTAAAGAATGGCCGAGCATGATAGTTCTTCGATCTTATCTGGTAAGAGCACACATTCTATATCTCTTCTTGCTTCTTGCACTGATTTTAAAACCTCATGGATTTTGGATTCTGGTGCAACTGATCATATGGCTTGTCGTACTGAGTTGTTTTGTTCTTATCATCCTACTGTTGGTAGTCATACTATATCTGTAGCTGATGGATCCCATAAATCAGTTATTGGTTCTGGTAACATTCAAATTCAACCTTCCTTGTTTCTTAAAAATGTTCTTTATGTTCCTCAGCTTTCTACTAATCTTATCTCCACTCAAAAACTTACAACTGATTTGAATTGTTCTATCACATTTTTTCCTTCTCATTGTCTTATTCGGGATCTTACCACGAAGAAGACAATTGGAGTTGCTAATGAACAAGATGGGTTGTATCATCTCCTTCCAGACCATGCTAGCAAAAATCAGTTATTAATGACACGCCATCCTTCTACTGCAGAGTCTATGATTTGGCTCCATCACAAGCGTCTCGGGCATCCACCATTTAGTCTTTTGAAGTCTATGTTCCCCTCTCTGTTTCTCAATAAGTCGGTTGAGACCTTTCATTGTGATGTTTGTGAATTTGCAAAACACCATCGAGTGTCATTTCCTTCTAGCACTATTAAAAGCAAGGAACCTTTTTCTCTTATCCATTCTGATGTTTGGGGCCCTTCTAAAGTGCACAGTGTTTCAGGTGCTAGGTGGTTTGTTTCTTTTATTGACGATTGTACTCGGATAACATGGATATACTTGATGAAAGACAAGTCTGAAGTACCAGAGATATTTATTCGGTTTCATCACATGGTTGAGACTCAGTTTGGTAAGGGTATTAAAAGACTCAGATCTGATAATGGTACTGAGTACGTCAATCAACGCCTGTCACAATTCATTTCAGACAGAGGTATGATTCATGAGCTCACATGTGTTGATACCCCTCAACAAAACGGGGTTGCTGAAAGGAAAAATCGTCACCTTCTTGAAGTTGCTAGAGCACTACTTTTTCAGACATCTGTTCCTAGTTCTTATTGGGGAGAAGCAGTATTAGCTGCAACTTTTTTGATCAACCGTTTACCTTCACGGGTCCTTAACAATATCAGTCCTATTCATTCCATGACTTCCTTCTTTCCTTCTGTTCCCATATTGCAGAGCCTTCCACCAAGAGTGTTTGGATGTGTTGCCTTTGTCCATGTTCATAAACAACATCGGAGTAAGTTGGATCCTAGGGCTCTTAAGTGTGTCTTCCTTGGTTATAACCCTTATAAAAAAGGGTACAAGTGTTATCATCCACCAAGTCGGAAATTATTTGTTTCTATGGATGTCACCTTTCAAGAATCTGAATCTTATTTCCTGGGTCCTCATCGTCAGGGGGAGAATAGTTCTTCAGAAGACTCGTCCTCTTCCTTCTTTGAGTCTGGATCAATCTTCTCTCTTCCTAGTGTGTCTGCTCCTGGTGTGTCAGAACCTTCAAATACACCTGAGATACAACCCATACTGTCTCACCAGCAACCTCAATCGTCTGAACCACTGGTAAGTCCTGAATCTCCTATTTCTTCTGATTCTCCTGAATCTCCCGTTTCTGATTCTAATATTATTTCCTCTCATGATTTGTCTATTTCTTCTGATATATTTAATGACTTACCCATTGCTTCTACTTCTGATGACTTACCTATTGCTCTTAGAAAAGGAAAAAGATCTTGTCACAAGAAAACTTGTTCCTCCTGTCCCTCTTGTACTCAATACCCTATCTCCCACTTTGTTTCCTCTGCTAATCTTTTTGTGCAGCACAAAAGCTTTGTTTCAGCACTAGATTCTATTGCAATCCCAAAATCAGTACATGAAGCCTTGAAAGATAGGAATTGGGCTCAAGCCATGCAAGAGGAGATGAATGCTTTGGAGAAAAATAAAACATGGGAGGTTATTGATAGACCCAACGGAAAGAAAGCAGTAGGGTGCAGATGAGTTTATGCCCTGAAATATAATTCTGATGGCACTCTTGAGAGATATAAGGCTTGATTAGTGGCCAAAGGTTACACTCAAACCTATGGCATTGATTATGAAGAAACCTTTGCTCCAGTTGCAAAGATGAATACAGTGAGAATCTTGTTATCCCTTGCTGCCCATTACAATTGGGATATAAATCAATTTGATGTGAAAAATGCTTTCCTCAATGGTGAGTTAGAAGAAGAAGTCTACATGGAAATCCCGCCTAGTTTTGATTCTGTGAAGGGGAAAAATAAAGTTTGTAGATTAAAAAAGGCCTTGTATGGATTGAAGCAGTCACCTCGTGCTTGGTTTGGAAGATTTACTAAGGTTATGATGACCTTAGGATACAGACAGAGCCAAGGAGATCACACTCTTTTCTTCAAGCACTCCCAAAATGGGAAGCTTACTGTGCTCCTTGTATATGTTGATGATATTATTATCACAGGTGATGATTTTGTGGAGAGACAGATTCTGCAAACACGGCTTGCCTCTGAGTTTGAAATCAAAGACCTTGGGAAACTGAGATATTTCCTAGGGATAGAAGTAGCTCATTCAAGCAAAGGAATTTTTATCAGCCAGAGGAAATATGTTCTTGATCTTCTCAAAGAAGCAGGAAAGCTCGGGTGTAAACCCTCTAATACTCCTATTGAGCAGAATCACAAGATGGGCTATGAAGAAGAGAGTCCTCCAGTTGATAAAGGACAATATCAACGACTAGTTGGGAAATTGATATATCTGGCCCATACTAGACCAGACCTAGCTTATGTTGTTAGTGTTGTCAGTCAGTTTATGCACGATCCAAAAGAAAAACACATGCAGGCAGTAGAGAGAATTCTTCAGTATCTTAAAGGTACTCCTGGTAAAGGATTGTTATTTCGACGTGATGGCAATCTATCTTTAGAAGTCTACACAGATGCTGATTATGCTGGATCCGTGACTGACCATCGTTCTACCACTGGTTATTGCATGTTTCTTTGCGGTAACTTGGTGACATGGAGAAGTAAGAAACAAGATGTGGTTGCCAGATCAAGTGCAGAAGCTGAATTTCGAGCTATGGCTCAAGGCATTTGTGAGTTACTGTGGCTGAAAATTGTTCTTGATGATCTCAAAATAAAATGTGAGGGACTTATGAAGCTGCTATGTGATAATAAGTCTGCTATTTGTATAGCTCATAATCCAGTTCAACATGATCAGACTAAACATATTGAGGTTGACCGCCATTTCATCAAAGAGAAACTTGATAGCGGGTTGATTACCACTCCATACATTCCCACTGGGCGTCAATTAGCTGATCTATTAACAAATGGGCTTCCTTCAGACAGATTTCAAGAACTTACTAGCAAGCTGAGAATGATAAATATCTATTCCTCAGCTTGAGGGGGAGTGTTGTAAATAATATTGATTTAGGTATTATTTAGTTTTTATTTAGTCATTTATTGTTGTATTGGGCCAAGCCCTTTGTTATATTGGGCCAAGCCCATTAGGTTAAAAGTAGGTCAAATATTCTCTATAAATAGAGAACTCTTTGTACAGATTATTTACAATTCTATAATATATTAGAATACCCTTTTACAAGTTGAGATATATTATTATTATTATTATTTTAATTGTAACAATGATATACTGAGTCTTCAATATTACGGGAATATTGAAGATATTATTTTTTTCAGACATGCTTTGTTTCTTTGTTTCTCACATGTAACTGGTTGATCTGATTATTAAACAATAGAAGGCAGAAGGTTAAAACAATGGTCCATGTCCATTAGTTAAAAAACAGAAGCTCTATTTTGGTTTTAAAACAGGCCTCCTTTTTAATTTTCAGGAAAAAATGCGGAAAAGTCCCAAATAGTTTTTGTACAACATACACAAAAGCATCAAATTTCTCTTTGTTGATTCTGTTGTAGTTACAAAACAACTTTCTCTCTCTCCATTAATATACCTATCCCTTTCTTGATTGGTTAAAAATGATTCCTAAAAATTTTCGCGTATGAATTATTTTTTACCAAATAGTAGCGCTCTTTTAGGAACAGTTAATATAGAAAACCCTTTAAACATGATTTTGGAGAATTCTATGGTTACCTATATTCTGTTTACCCGTCTAGTTCATACTTGAGTATAATTGAAGTTCTTCGAATCTCCTAGTTTATAATATAATTGATGGTTGGAACAGGATTTTGGAGAATTCTATGGTTTGATGGTTGGAACATTATTTTGGAGAAATCTATGGTTTCCTTTATTCTGATTACCCTTCTAGTTCATATTTGAGCATAAATGCATTTGTACGAACCTCCTTGTTGATAATTTAATTGATGGTTGGAACAAATCTAGAGAAAAATCCCTTGTTCAATAATAATGATGCACGTGGAATCGCATG